AAAAAAAAAAAAAAAAAAAAGAATCATCGGTCTGGGTTTTTTTTTCGCTACAAACATTTATATCTTATGATAACGCAAAATTTATCATTTTAATTTTTTTTTGTCTTTTCATAATTTACAGACCTGATCATTTAACGGAAATATGTCTTAGTCAACAAAATATCATACAGACGTTATAATATTTTTAAATTTCCCTAACTACACCGAGTAGTTGTATATTTTATTCAGCTCAAAGATCCTCTACATATATTAAAAATTAGGGGTGTTCTGGATAACATTTTTTATAATCCAACCTCATATCGAATACCCGGATATTTGAAAATTATTCACAGTATAGTTAAAATACTGTTTTAGTTTTAGAAATTTTGTTTTTAAACATATATTATGTTTAAAAACTTTTAAACTTTAAACTTTCGAATCCACACTGAAACAACATAAATTTATCTATATTAAAATTAGAATTTGCTTTTTCCATGAAAATTTTAGATTAGTCAAATTGAATTTAAAAACTTAAAATATCATAATTATAAGTATCAAATTTATCATTATAAATACTTTTCTAATAAATGATAATAACTATTACTAATTAATATTCTAAATATACAAATAGTATATTCTAAATATACAAATAGTATAATTAGATAATATACTAATACTAATAGTATATTATCTAAATATACTATTTGTATATTTAGAATATTGTATATTCTAAATATACAAATGATCATTATAAATAACTTTTACTATCATTTATTAATATTACTTTATTAATATGCATTTTTAAATTCTCTGTTCTTAAAAAAAGGAAAAATAGAATTATTTCAGGCCGCTAAACTTTAAACTAAATTTTACACTCTAGATTTACATAAAAACATTAGTTTTTCAAAAAAGAAAAAAGAAAGAATACAAAAGTGGTGATCAAAAAGAAAAACAGACAAAATCGACTATTGATTTATATATATATATATATATATATATATATATATATATATATATATATATATATATATATATATATATATATATATATATATATATATATATATATATATATATATATATATATATATATATATATATTTGATAAGACCTTTGATAAGACCGTAAGGGCTCTTAAAAAAAGGAAAAATTAAACATTCCTAATCATAATATCATAACAAATGGTTAAAACAGTTTCAGTTATAAAATGTTGGTCAGTACCTAACAACATTTTATAGAAACTTTAGCAAGTAAAATTGTGCAGAAGCTGAATAAAAGAGTGTTAAAAACACATGGTTAAAATACAAAGTATAATCAAATATAGATGCAGCTAGATTGTCTGCTACTGGTTATTTATTGGTTTAAACAGCTTTTTTTATCTATTTTCTGAACATTAAATCTCTTTTAATTCATTAAATTTAAGTTAATGATAAATTCGTTAAACTCATTAATGACTTTAAGATTTTTTTTTTTTTATTTTTTTTTTATTTTTCTTCTCCAGGTATACCATATAAAATACACATTTATTATCGTGAAAAAAAGAAAATATATATACTAAACCATTACCTATCAGATTGATAAAAATACATTAATATAATATTGATACATTAATATAATATTGATGCAAACTTTAATATAAACTCTGGTATAATAACTATTATATAGATTCATTTTTCTAAACTTTAATACCTAAAAAAAGGGAAATCAAAGAAGCTTTAGCATAAAACTCCAAAAAAAATCTTTTCGTAGATTCCCTTAACAACGCCATTTGGCGTATATCTATGTCTATTTCAAAAATTAATTTAAGTAAATTTAGAAGTAATTTTTTTGTAAATATTTTTTATTTATTACAATCATTTTTACAAACTAAGAATATGCAACTTTGTATGCTGTTTAAACGAAGATATTCCATTTAAATCTTTTAATTTTTGATTTTTCAAGTTTTCTCTGTTTTGGGGCCTTGTGACATAATTGAAAAACCAGAACCCCGGGTTTTAGTTTTTTTGATATAATAGTTATGGAAGCTATTGATCGCAGATTATAACTTTGAGAAAATGATGACGAAAATATGCCTATAAAAGATTTTGCTAGCATTTTATTTTTACATTTGAACATAAAAATAAAAATTTGATAAAAATTTTTCCAAGTTTAAGACTTTCATATTTGTCATTGCATTAGAAGGATGTGCCCACACTTTATTAGCATATGTGAGATGACTATGAATTAGACAAAAGTAAAGTTTTTTTCTTAAACGGGCGACATTTATATAAAATACCTAATGCAGATGATATTTTTGATTCAATGTGTCCAATATGATTTCTCCATGATAAATTTTCATCAAGTTGGACAGCAAGAAACTGATTATTTTTCCCGTTTTATTGTTATGTTATTAATGAGCAACTCTAGAATTTTTAACTGTAGAGACATTGATTGATCTGTTATGAAATAAAATGTAATTAAATCTCATGAGTATTTTTTCTTATTGCAAATCAAAAATCAAACAACATTTTTAAGCTCCTAGACACTATATATAGGTTTTTGTATTTTCTATATTAGATTTTTCTTTTAACAAGGAAGTTTAAAACAATGGAGAGAGAACGAAGCCGAAAATCGTTTAAAATCGTAGTACAGTCTTTGATGTATAATTATTCCAGCGGCACATCTAAATCGCACCTTTGCTTTAAAAAAGGAAAATTTTCAAATGTAGCTTTTACCTTTGTAAGCTGTAATCAAAATGGATTACACTCTTACAAGTTGACTAAATAAGTTTTTAACAACTGTTTCAACTTTCAAGTAGTAATCGCAACAATAATCATTATCTACGTTAAGTAACCGTTTTTTGAATACCGTGATAGGTATAAATATCTAAGTTTTAGACAACTTGGCTGAACCTTACCTTTTGCTTCCCAGTTCAGCTATATACTCAGCGAAATTTCTATAGTTCTACTTACAATTTATATATGTAAATAAATTCACGAAGTCTTTGCGTTTTTTTGTTTGTTTGTTTGTTTATTGCAGGAATTATTAGGAACAAATAAATAAACAAATAATATTTTAATATAAAATAATTATTAATTTATTTCGTAAAACTTAAAATTTAGAAATATTAGTTCCATCAAAGGTAATCTTTTATAATTTTCGTTCTAGATAGTAATTTTTTAATTAGTTTTAATAATGTGTGCTACCACCTTTTACACTAATTAATTCGAAGATTCAGTTTTTCATACTTTTTATAAGATTTTCCAAACAAAACTTTGAAATACCGTTCCATGCTTGTTAGATAGATGTTTTAAGTTCTTATATTGTATTATACTGTCATGTATAGTTCGCGCCAATATTCCCCATAAATTTTTGATAGGGTTCAAGTCAGGGGAACATGATGGTCGATCCAAAACATTTATATTTTTTTCCTGGATCCACTTTTTTACACTTTGTGCCGTGTAAACCGCCGCATTATTTTGTTAGAAAATCCAGTTTTCAGTAGGTAAACCTTCACTAAACTCTATTAAAACATCTTCTAAGAGATAATTTCTTGCATTCATTTTTGTTGTAATAAAATATATTGGAATTTTGCCGTGTAAACAAAATGTGGCCCACACCATAACTGTCCCTCCTCCGAAGTCACGACTCATAGCTATGCTATCTTTTTTTTTTCAAATCATGCTAATAATACTTAAAACCTTCAGGCCTATCTAAGTTTTTTTCGTCGGAAAAAATTACATTTTCCTATTCTGCATACCATGTCAAGTGGTTCTTTGCAAACTTAAATCTTGCACTTTTATGTTTTTTGTCAATGGTGATTTTGTGATCATTCTTTTCCATTGGAATCGTCATAATTTTGACAAAATTTGTTGGACATGTCTTGTAGTCACAGGTAATTCAAGTTCAGTCCTTATTTGTCTTGCTGTTCGTACTCCGGATGATGTCAAACGCAAATTGAAAGAATGTTGCCTTTTGATTGTTTTTTTATTTCCGCCTTTAAAGTGATTTTTGTTGTAATTTTCACCTAAGTTTATAAAATTGTTCACTGCATGATGAAACCTTTTAATTTTCTTTTCAATTTGAAATAACTTTTGAAAAACCAGACATTCCATCATTGAAATGAATAACAGCTGAAGCTACACCATTATCTAAAACTTCTTTGCAAACAAATACATCTTTAGGACACCTTTTTCCAAATTATTTGATTAAATGCTTCGTTTCAATTTTGGGTAATACCATGTAGACATCGTTTTAACAAATTTTCTGAACATAAATCAATAAAAACCGGTTTTATTGCATTATGAATAGCTAATGGTATGTTTACAGAAGATATATGAGAATTACTTTCACCTCAAAATGTACACCAACTATTATTTAATCTAGGACAATAAAAAAATTACCTTAAAAAAATGGAAATTACTCCATAATATTGGATTTAAATGTATATAAAGATATATATTTTCCGAATCTATATTAAATTTTGAATAAGAAAACATAATTTTTTATTGTTTTTTAACCATAGAGCCACCTTAATAGAAAATTATGATACTACTAAGACTGTTTCTTGAAAAATGACGTATCTTAACTTCATTCTTCCTTCAGTCTATTATACCTCCTTGGTTTTAATATTTATAAATCAATATTTTAACTAACTGTTTATTTTAAGTAAATTATTAATCAACTTACGTAGTTTAAGCAAATCTTTTGCAATTAGCCTTAAAATTAGAAACTTTGCTTTTAAACAATCTTTGTTCACTATTTGCAAATTGAAAAAAAAAAAACCCCTCAAAAAACACGCTCAGTATGTTTTTGCTTTTATCTTAAGAACAATCATAATTTATAGTAAAATTCTTTTATTTAGATTAAAATTTTATCATTTATTGGAAGTGAAAATTTGAATACGCTGTATTCACATTTATACTATTCATTAAATGAGAAGAGAACGCACAGATGGTAAATAGAAAAACCTGATTGCTGGCAGCCTTCTACAAGACAATTTTGATCGGCAATGTAGACCATTCATAGAATAAGTATTTATATTGAGATTCTGTCTATATAATATGTATACCAATAATGTATTAGCCAGTGAAAAAAATAAAATAAAATGTATTGTCAAAACAATTGTCTTTTTTAGCTGGTTGTATTTGTAATGTATTACTTAGATGTCGATCATGTATTTCTTTATGCTTTTTTTTTTTAAAGTTTGTCTTTTACTTTTCAAAACAAGAAATAGTGAAGTACCAATAGCTGATCTTCATCAGGGTATAAGCAGAATTAGATTTTCAAATTCGAACAAATGCAACCATATTTCATCCAGCAAGATCAAGTCTTCTAAATCGATCCAAATTATAAAATTGAGCAGATACACTGCGTCCACCAAAGAAGCGTCCATTTAAATCCACGAGAGCTAAAAACAGACAAACAAAACAAAATTTAAAAAAATAAAATAAAACAGATTGTTGCAAAACCACTTTACTTTATCATTTAGTTGTAGTTATTTTAGAAAAATAATTCCTAAATTATAATCTCTAACCTTTGACGGCTGATTCAATTCGTTTAAATTCAACAAATATACGAACGGCCTCCTCTTCGACTGCATCAGGAATCTGGTAATAAAATATAACAATAAAACTTATATCTACAAATGGTTTTAACAAAAAGACTTTTGATGTTATAAATTGTATAAATTAATATCCAAATACTGTATCGGCAGTAAAAAAAACAAGTAGATAGTTTTAGAATGATATATCATGAGCTTTTTAAAGTCAATCAACACATTTAGTAGATAGAAAATCTGAAGAAAGTTTTTTTCTTCATATCTGCAATATGGTCTATACACCTTTTAAATTTAATTGAGCTGCTATTTTTGCATCAATAGTTGTTAGGTTTAAACAAAAAATTTTGCGTCAACAATGTCCTTATTGTGTTTTAATTCTTTTTAAGGTGCTTAAGGATCTTTAACTAAAATTTGTTAATTGCTTTTATAGATTTTTAAGCAATCTAAAAAAGCAATTAACAGGTTTGAAGCATCAAGTTAATTATTCCTATTACAGATATAAATTTTAAGTTGTCCCTAATTGCTAAAGATGTTTAGGAATAATCAAAATTATTCATGGACCACTATGCAGTTCACAATCATCTAGAAGCAGATTTTTCAGATTAGCGCAGGTCAATTGTAACAAAAGAATTAACCCAGCTAAAACTAATTATGATAGTGTTTTTTCTAGGATTTTGGTCTTGTGTGAACCTTATTGCGACTAATAAACTATAGAGATTTCTTTTGTTGACATCTGAGTGTAATCTTTTTTTTTTGATTTAGTGTTTTTTAGATTTTAACATCGTGCATTAAATGGCTTCTATGGAAAAAAATTGTGTTTTGTGTTTTTAAACGCAAGTATTTGTCATAAAATAACTTATATTTATTACACAATTTTGATGAAAAGAATTTGTAGGTAGGATTTTGCTTTTGTGTAAAAAATATATCTCTTAAATACACATCATTTTTCATCAAGTGACTGTTAAGTGAAGAGCAACTTTTTGTTATAATTATGTTTAAAGCAAAAAGTAGCACAATATTCACAATGCATTGTTATCTACATTCAACAGTAGATTTACTTAATCAAATGTTTGGAGGATATTGAATTATGGTTTATCATATATTATTATGACAAATTTTCATGTTGGCAATAATTTTTTGGTATTTTGACACACCACACACTGTGTTTGTGGTTCGCTGTGAGGAATTTAAATAACTAGGAGTACTATAAAATTCAATTCAAAAAAACAACAATGAAAAATATTGATGAAAATTTGTTTTAAAACTTACTTCAAAAATTAACACTTTATTGATTTCTCCGTACTTTGAACCACACTCTTCTTCTATTTCTGGTTGCAGCTCATCGTCAACTTCACCAGGGCCAACCATATTCTAAACATTACAAACTATTTTTTTCAAAACTTTGTTTTTTATGTTCAGGAATTTATAAAACTTAAAATAATAAAAAATTATTTAAAATTTTGTGAAATATTACAGCTATATTTTCATATAATAAAATTATATTCATATAAATAAAATTATATAAATACTTATATTTATATAAGTAAAATTTTCATGCAAAAACAATAATAATACTAATCAAGTAAAAAAACAAGATTTATTCTTCCACATTAAATCTTTATTGAAAAACGACTTACCATTAGTAATACTACTTTAGATGGGTTTTTCATTTTGTCTGTTATATTGCTTTCTATTACTTCTTCAACATCTGGGGGTGGAGAAGGAACGTCTTTCTCTTTGTTTTTAATTTTTTCAACATCTTTATTGATTATTTTTCCAGCTCTCTTACCTGTTTTTTCGACTTGTAAACAGGTAGACAACCCTTGTTCTTCTCTTCCTAACCCTTGTCCTTCTTTCCACCCATACTTAGCCATAATTTGAGAAGCAACAACATTCCTAATAAAAATAAAGTAAATAGTGTCACTATTTAGAATTTGTGTACAATACATAGCATGTATAAATAACAATTATTTTTATATAATATTTTAATTTATATAACTTAAAAATTTTTATATTTTAAAATTTTATATTTGGGTCAAATCATTATATTTCAACCAATGGCCTGTGGGGCACCATATCAGATTTTGTTGATTTTTACATATCATTATCTACATCATGTAGATAGGTTAAATTTGAAGCTCAGATTTCCAAGTGCAACGGTTCATAAAATATAGCTTTTGGGGGCCACTGCACAGTGGACCCCCTCGATTTAAGAATTGTAAAAACAGACTACTTAAAAGCGTCATTCAATTAAGTCTCATCTCTTTTCTGTTACTTTTCCTAAGTGCTCCAAAAACTCTTATTTGTCTAGGTTTTTTCCTCGAACATCAGTTCTTTGGAATTCACTTCCTTCATCTTGCTCTGATTCATATAATTTGCAATCTTTTAAGTCATTTGTCAATCATTATCTTGCTCTACAATCTTCATCTTTTCTCTTCCAGTAACTTCCAACACTAATTAGTGGTTGCAAGCAGCCTTGTTGGAAGCTAAGATGTTTAAAAAAAAAAAAAAGTTTTTCAAATTAAATCTATAATACATTAAAAAAAAAAAAAATCATATTCATAAAAATTTGATTAAAAAATTATTATCCTAATTATTATATAGCAAATTTGAAAAACATCATTAAAATAAAAAATATGGTTTGTTTAAAATTGGTTAATCAGAATTTTTTGAGTAATATTAATTAAAAAATTAACCAGGTGCAAAAACGCATTGTAAACATAGTTGGACCTGCTCTTGCAGCCAACCTTCAAACATTATCACATTGTCGTAATGTTGCTTCTCACAACATCAGCGAAATAATAAATCTTCTGAATTTGTGGATATTTCTTAAGAATAAATTTGATTTTTGAAACAACTGAAGACTGCCTCAATATTGTGAATCAGATTGTATGATATAACGCAATAACTTGCTTTCTAGGGTCAGTTTTTCATTCAAAGACCTCATATATACAACAAATGAATGAAGAGTTGCCTGATTTTTAGAAAATTATAACGCCTAAACTTAATCCTGTATGACAAATCGTTTGCTTTCAGGTTTGTTTTTTTAACTGCTTTAAAAAGTATGTCTGAAATTTGCTGACGTAATGACGTTTTGTGAGTTGTTTGTTAACTCTTCAAGAAACTCATCAAGGTTTTTTAACTATTTTTTCTAATGAATCTATCAGTTTTCAACTATTGCTTTTAAGTTATTTCATTTGCTGAATTGCCAACCAGATCATTTAATTTTTTTTCACTTCTTTCTTTTCCAGGACACTTCTTACACTCCTGAAACATAAATTCTTTATTTTCTAATGAGCATACAGCTAAGGCCATCAGTTCTTTCAACTTTAATTCATTTTTGAACACTTTTACCATTAGATTTGGATTTTGATAGCAACTGTTTTTATGCTAATATAATCCTTAGCACCTGGCAATAATCTGCTATTACTATCATCTTCATAAAAGTTAACAATTTGATTTATAACTTTGGAAGTTATTTTTTTGGATTTTTTATGTCAGTTGTTCTCTCACCATAGATTACTTTAGTGTCCCGCAAAGCTCTAGCTTGTTTTACCATATATTGTGTTGTTTTAAATTCATCTATTATTTCCTGAATCGTCCAATGGACAGGAACAAAAGGGAGGAATTTATTTTCAGTAAAATTTTATTCTCATTATGAAACTTTTGTTCTAGTTGTTCTACTAGACAATCTAAAGAGGAGCTAATATAGAGGTCTATTGTAAGAGGTGACAATTTATCTGTCAGCTGTTTACATAAAGCTGGCAATTATTTCAAATATCCAAAAACACCAGATACTCATTGGTATCCAGTTAGTGACATTATTGCCACATTACATGAGCCTGAGCTCCAAAACACAAGAGGGTTTTACTCCTATCTAATAAGAAAAAAAAAAGATTAGATAGATTACACTGTGTTAATTGTTTTGAATTAGCATATAATTATCAATTAAAAAGTAAAAACCAAACCTAATAATTTAAGTAGCTTCTAAAAAGTTTCGACTTTTTCCTTTACTAATTTATTATTTATTTTTATTATAGAAGTTATTATACTTTTTAAGCCCCCTAATGTATTATGAATATTCCCTTGATATATTATAAAAGTCTTATGAAAAATCGTTCAACATTAATTATGTAAAACAACAAGTCTTTGACATATAATTAGTTGCACTCATTGAATATGCTATGAAGCAGGTTGGGGGGGGGGGTACAACACTCCTTAATTGTGTAAATTATGTTTAGAGTATCACTATTTACCAATATTACCGAGTTTTAATTATTGCCCCTTTTTTTGTGCCATTACCCAGGTTAAAATCCAGATCAGCATGGGGCATTCAACCATATTTCATTTTTTAAGAAACAACTTATAATTAGTTGCACCCATTGAATATGCTATAAGGCAGGCTGGGGGAGAGGGGCACTGGTTTCCAATAATACATTCAACCCTTGATAATTGAAAAAGAGGGTTAGTTTAAAATGCTGCCATTTTTGTTGTAAATGCAATAAGTAAAAAAATGTTTGCATTTTCAGATGGTTGGATCTTATGGTCTTAATTGCTGTTAAGCTTAGACCAATATAAAGTGTTAGAAAAAAGTACAAGCATTTCAAAATGGCTGAAAATAGGACTTTTTTGGCAAATGGACAATACATTTTTAGATATATTTCAGTTCTAAACGGCAACAAGTGGCTTATTTTTTGCCTATTTATTGCAGATAACAGTAGCTAATCAGAAAACTAAACTATAAAGACTTGTTGATGAATAGAAAACTACTACTATTAACTTCATTTTGGCCTATTTTTTAGCATTTTTCAATTTTTTTTCAAAGTTGAGCAGGCTATAAATTTTTTTTTAATATGATACAGATTAACAAAAACCAGTATTTTTAACACAGAACTACAGAGAAAAAACTTCTAGAAAAAATGAGCCACTTATTGAGAGATAGAAAAAAGTTATGAGGCTTTAAAGTAGTCTGTTTTTACAATTCTTAAATCAGGGGGGGGGGGGCACAGTACAGTGTTTATAAAGCTATATTTTATGAACCGTTGCACTTGGAAGTCTGAAATTTCAAATTTAACCTATCTACATGATGTAGATAACGATATGTAAAAATCAGCAAAATCTGAGATGGTGCCCCACAAAGTTTTCTCAAAATTGGTTGAAATATAATGATTTGACCCATTTATATAAATATACATACTAATAATTTATGATATATATATATATATATATATATATATATATATATATATATATATATATATATATATATATATATATATATATATATATAATATAAACAAAAAATTGCCTTTAATCCCAAAACCGTCTATTAAATATAAAAAAATTATTTTATTTAATAGATTAAATATATACCCAGTTTGAAAACCTCCAGTGCCTGCACCATCTTTCTTCACAATTAAATCTGGGTTAACAGGTGTTGCTTCAAGCAATGATGCTGGTGGGGCAATAGCTGCACGACCTCTATCTATTGAAAAAGTATAAACAACTTTTATGCAAATCTGCATATTTATCCTTCCTGGAAAGCGCCTTGAACGTCCATATCTAAAGTAATTTTTTTAGACAACCACGTTTTTATTTAGTAAGCGTTTTAAGAACTCGTGGCAAAATAAAGCTATAAGAAGCTAGAGAATAAATCAGCAATACTCGAAAAAATGAACTGAAGACTATACGGAATAAAAAATCTAAATAAAATAAGCTAAAAAAAATTTATTAATAAAAAAAGAAAATGGTTGTCAAAAATTAATATACCTAAATATTTACTGTTTGTTTCCTTATTTTTAGAGTGTTATTTTCCACTACCAAAATTAATACAAGTCGAGGAAAAAAGTAGATAAGAATATAACGAAATTAAAGATACTTTTTGATATAAAATTTTTTCACGATTTTTTGCAGTCAGTTTATAAAAGAAATACTTTATAAACTAGGCTAGAAACACTGACAATTTTTAAATTTGTTTTCCAAATGTTTTTGTTGAACTTTACTGTTTTTATAAATGCACAGGAAAGCGAAAAAATTAGTGCATTGTTATATGAATAATTATACTGAACTTGCTTAACAAAATTTCTTAACAAAATAGGAACCTATTTAAAACTTTTTTTTAAGTTTTTAAATTCATTTTTTTAAACAATCGTTATGTTCATTATCTCTAGTGATTCATATTAAAATTGGAAATTGGGCAATATAAAAGAAACAATTTCAGACAAACATCAAATGCGGTAAATATATTTATTAAAGAAACTATGTTATTCTTTTATTCAACTTATTCTGCCATTAACAAAACTAATTAATCAAATAATATTGTTTACAAATAAATAACAATTTATTTTCTTATTTTCCTATTGATTAAAGATATTGAAGTATTAAGAAAAAACACCAAATATAGTAAAAACTTTTTTAAAAGCGAAAAGACGTTAAAACAAATAATATACATAATAAATGAATAAATGTAAGAAAAAAAATAACAAAATTTCTTATAGTTCCAGCATATACATCAAATTAGTTTTTTATTATATGGACTGATAAAAATCGTGAATAAATTGCATATCAAAACTTTTAATTGTTGTTAAATCGTTATAAAAGATGTTTTTTTCAACAACAACTAGTCATTTAATTTTCATGAAATATTTCATATTTTACATATTTTATACAAAAAGATTACAAAAGTTGTAACAAAAAATTTTTTTACTTTTTTAATTATTAAATTTTCTAGTTTCTTCAAGTAAAATGATGTTTCATTACAATTTTGTTTCTTTTTTTAAGGATTTTTTTCTTTTTATCTAAGTAGATAAGTTTAGCTTTTTGCCGTGAATTGTTGAAATGCTTTATAAGTTAAAAGATGCAAACTGCCATGGTCAGTTAGTCTAAAAAAAAATACTATAAATGTGGGTGAACAAGGCACATGCTTTCCAAGAAGGCTGGTATAACATAAAGTTTTACTATAATAACATAGAAACAAGGCTGGCAAAATAATGTTCACCTCAGACACTTTTAGATCAGCAGTAAAACTTCATGCATTACTTAGAGTTTTTTTGAAAAATTGTTTTATATTGAATTAGTTTACAGGCAAATTTGTTTATTTTCAAGATGATGTTTATAAGCTTTAATTAAACAGCTGTTCAGTTTTGGAGGACAAATTTATTCTCCACAATGAAATAGGTTGGCTCTTGAAACAGGAGAAATGCTTATGTTTTTACATTACAATATTTAAATATACAATTTTAAATACTAAATTTGTTATTTAAACGATTTGTTTATTTTAAACTATTTAAACAATTGATTTATTTTAAAATCTCTTATTTTATTTAAAAGAAAATGTATTGTTATAAAGTTTCTTTAATTTGTTTTTTATAAAAATTTTAAAATTTTAAGTAAACTGCTTATCTTAATAATATTTTCTTTTTAAAATTGAAATAAAAAGCATTCCTCTAAAATTGTATTTATTTTTTGAAAGTTTTCTTTTGATGGTTAAAAAACTAAAAAACATATAATATTTTAACTGAGCTTTACTAATATCTTTTAAAAGCAGGGTTTGGCTCTAATATGGATCCAATTATTTGTTTACCAGGTCTGATTCAATGAAAAGGTTTACACAATTTAAAACTGTATGGTTTTATATTTCAAAAATTTTTATAATTAGGCCTTTTTTTATCCATTAGCATTGTTATCGGCATCAGTCACAAATGTGCAATCAGTACATCACTAGTTTTTTTATCAGGCTTTAAATACATGCAAATTTTCAAAACATGCAAAGTACTTCGGCTAAGTTGTTAAAACACAATGTACGAGTGGACATATAAGGGATGTGACCATGCGGCTTTCCTGAGAAGACTTATATATATGTAAGATATATATATATATAAAATCATAATACCCTTTACGTGATCGTCTACACGCCAACCAAAAAAAATAATTGGCAAGCGCATAAAGAAGCACTTACCAAAAAAAATAAAAGCACTTTTTTAAAATTGCAATGAATCTTTTTTGTTTATCAAATACTTTTATATAAAAAATTGTGAAAACACTTATGTATTAACTATTTTTTAAAAATTTAAATAAAAGGTTTATTTTGCCATTCTTAATGTAACTTATTTTTTTATTTAATTATTTTATCTAAAATTCAAATTAAATGTTTGTTTTGCTGGTATTTTTTATTACTTTATTTAGAATTTAAATAAAATGTTTATCTTTCTGTTTTTATTTTATTTATTTTGTTTAATATAAATATTATCAAACATTTTTAATTTTTTTTTTTACCGTTTATTTTTTTAAATTATTTTTCAAATTCTTTCAGTTAGAATTTAATTAACACGTTTGTCATTCCATTTTTATTTCAACTATTTTGTTAAATATTTTTATAAAATGTTTTATATTTTTTAATTTTTTACCGTTCTTATTTTAATTATTTTATTTAGATTTTAATTAAAATTTTGGTTTTTCAAAACTATTTTTAAAACTTTTTAAAACTTAAGTATTTATTCAAGACTTTTTTTCTCGCTGCTTTTTATTTTAATTTAAATAACAGAAAAAGATGAATTTGACCCAATGACAAAAAATGACTACGCCAACCTAAAAATAATTATCAGGTGCTTTATCATGTGCTGGCATTAAATTTCAAATGGAGAAAACTGAAAATAATATATTCTGATTAAAACCTTTAAGTCGGTCTTCATCTCTTCTCCTTCTTCGACTGTCGTCTCTTTCATGACTTCCACCTCTTCTTCTGAAGTAAAATAAATAAATATACAAGTTATATAACTTAGGTACACTTTTGTTATGCATTATATATATAATTATTATAATAGTGTATTAACTCAAATATCACTTTATTTAAATGTATAAAAAAAATGCAATCTTCAAAAAACCATGTTTTAAATTTTTTATTGTTGTAGTAATTTCTGTTTGATAATTATCAATAAATATCAGTAACTATCTTAAAAAAATACTTTCTATCATCTCTGGAATCTTCTGATCTTTCTTTTTCTCTTCTTTCTCTATCCTTTTCACGTTCTCTCTCTTTTCTTTCTTGTTCTTCTTTTTCACGTGCCTGCTCTTTGAATTCTCCATAATCATTTGGACGCAACGGATTATATTCATCAACAAGCACTGGCTTATTCTCGTTAGTACCACTCATATTTGACTATGAATTTAAAAAAACTAAAATATGATTGTATAAAAGATTCTATTTATTTTAGTAATTATAGGGAAAAAATAAAGATAATGATCTTAATAACTATCATGATTACTGTATCACCATGACAATCAAAATCATGATGAATATAATGATCATGATTATAATGATTATGGGTCATCCCATATGAAATCATCCAGACCATGACACCCTTACATCTTAGACCACTTACATCTCACCCTTACATCTCAGAACATGACACCCTTACATCTCATGACATCCCTTACATCTCAGACCCTTACATCTCACCCTTACATCTCAGACCATGACACCCTTACATCTCATGATATCCCTTACATCTCAGACCCTTACATCTCACCCTTACATCTCATGACATCTCTTACATCTCAGATTTTTTTTTTTTTTAATACATAAAATGAATTAATAATAAATTATTATGAAAATTGAATTTAGAAACATATATTTTTTTTTAGTATAAGTTTGAGAAACAATTTATTTGCATTATTTCAAATTGATAAATACATACCTCTTACTTCAAAGTAAGCACTCAAAACTAAGATCTTTTCACGATTTTAAAAAACCATAAATTTTAAAACCAAAAATATTGAAATGTTTTTTAAAACATTTTAATACTCAATAACATTATTTAATAGTTTAAGGCTAATACAGTCACTGACATAATAAGGTGGACAGTGGGATTTATTTAAACCCCCTCCTTCTCAGCCTTTCATCCGAGGATTTGAAAAAAAAAAAAGACATTTTAAATGCAAAATAGGTAAACAAAATTATTTAAATGTATTTAATTTTCTTTTTGTACAAACTGCAAATCTAAATCAGATTTGTTGTATGTACGACCTGATGTTGTTGTGGATGCAGAAATTAGGCATATAACTTCAGAATTGAGCACCCAACACTCATCATTTTTCATTGACCAAAAGAAGTTTTTACCTGGTTCATGCGGATGGATGAATCTGACTTTTATATCAAGTTCACTCACATCTTCAGCGATCCCTAGCCACCAAAATCCGTCATAAAAATATGCAATATAATCCATTTTTTAATCTTTAATGTTAGCTTTTCAGAATGATATCAAATATTTCAATACATGTATCAATACTTGTTTTTTAATAACTTATAGTGTTTGAAGCAATTGGAATAAAGTGATGATATATCCTTGTGCCAGGAACTGTTCTTCCAACTAAATGTCTTTTTTCTAATTGTGCTTGTGTTTGGTCGATTTCATCTTTAGAAAATAAAAAACATTTCAACATTTTTGGTTTTAAAATTTACGATTTTTAAAATCGTGAAAAGATCTCAGTTTTGAGTGCTTACTTAAAAGTTAGAGGTATGTATTTATCGATTTGAAATAATGCAAATAAATTGTTTCTCAAACTTATACTAAAAAAAAATTATGTTTCTAAATTCAATTTTAATAATAATTTGTTATTAATTCATTTTATGTATTGAAAAAAAAAAAAAAAATCCAGGGAGATTTGTGTGTGTGCAGAAAGGAGAGGGGGAAGGGGGGAAAAGTTAGTCAGAGGATCCTTGGTCCTCCCTTGGACTAAACTAGTCAATAAATAACACTATTTGATGTTTTATTCAGACACAATTTTTAGAGACACAATTTATGAATCTAATTTTTTTCAGTAGACATAACATAGAATAATGATATACAATAAAACATTTTACTTGGGATTTTGGGCCAGTCTTCATTTTACCTCCAAAAATCATGAATTTATAAGTCAATAATTTTGAACAAAATTGGATAATTGAGAGATTTCCTGAGACAATTGAGTCTTAAGGATGCTATTTTTGGATTTTTCAAATAAAAATCTATTAGGGTACCAAATTTTAGGAAATTTCTCAAAGCCACTATGAAGATATAATATGTCAAAATAGCTTTGTAGTTGCTCCAGATAATCACTAGAATGCTAAGTCAGCGCTATTTCAACTGATGATATCTCTGGAACCCATGTGTATTTTTAACTAAAATTTTTGCAGTTATTATCTTTTTAATATGGACTGCAAGTGAGGTAAATATGAACAAATTCTGAGACATGAGGGTGTCAAAAATAATTTTTTTTGATGATTTCATATGGAATTACCCTTATAACATCATAATCATCACAAATATTATAAACACCATCATCATGAATATTATGATAATCATCATCATCATCATCATCATCATCATCAATCATCATCTTTGCTATTGATTACTTCAATAATACTGATAAAAATTGTTTTTTGTTCCTAATATAATTATATAAGTCCTTTAAAAAACATACCAGTGTAATTGTACCAGGGCCAGCTGATGATAAACCTTTGCCACCTTTCTAAATTTAATATATTTTTTCTTTATTTTAAATTTAATATTGCTAAAATATTTGTATTTAAAACTATATCTTATTACAAATTTAGATGTTTTGAAAAAGTTTTATATTATAAACAGAAATACACTAAAAGGATGTTTTTCCTTATTTTTAAGTATCATGAAAATAAGCTTATAAGTATCATGAAAATGATATTTTATCAGTATCACAAAAATAGGAGTTCCCAGAATCCTACAACTTTTTCAATCAAACTTTCAAGTACATCAAAACAAAAGTTTTGGGAAAACTTACAAATGCTGGACCTGGAACTTTTAATGCTTTTCTTAATTGTAATTGTGTTTTCATGAATTGTAAGTTATCTGACCATCCAGCTTAAAAATACAGAAATAATAAATTATCTGCTAAAACATTCAAAATGTAAAATCAAAATATATATATATATTTTTTATTAAAATAACAAATACAGAAATCAGTTTACCCATTTGATTAGAATCAAGACCTTTGTTGTCTCTATCTCCTCCTGCAAATCCAACGCCATCATAAAGAGATGATAACGACATGACTGATCCACTATTTATAGACTGTTATAAATCCATTTTAAAAATTATTTCTTAAACTGAAAAATTAAAACAATATTAAATTCAGATGTTCACCTAAAACATCATAACTAAATTCCAAATAATTTTTAGAATTATTTTACTCAATATATGTAATTTCCCTATTTTAGTCATATCGTTAATTAATTGGTAAAATAAGCAAATATTTAACTCAATGGACAAAAAGATAATCTTTCAAACTATAATTGCTCCCCACTATATACTGTGCTTCTACAATATACTGTGCTTCTATTTTTCTTGATGTAAACAATAATAACTTAAACACCCTAGATTTACTACAAAACAAAGCAATAAGAATTATATTAAAAATTGACTGGTCAACTCAAAAAACAGAAATGTTAAAATTGCTTGGTTGGATCAGTGTAAAAAATAGAATAACTTTTAAATCACTGCTTCATCCACAATGTTACATCAACTAAAAATGATATTTTTAAACTGTTCTATTTAAAAAAGTGAGAGCTACATCAGCATAACGCAAGAGAAGCTAGTTATTTTCAAAAAAGTACCCAATATAATAGAGCAGGACAGAAGTCATTGTTTGCCTGTGGTTTAAACTATACCATAAAATAGCTTGTAGATTTGTTCAATAAGACTCTGAAAAATTGAAAAAAAAAGGTACTGCAAACATTAAAAACTAATCAATTTATTAAATAGTGAACATTTATTTTGTAAAAATTACTAAACTAGCATTAGGTTGCTAAATAAATAAATAAAATTAACAAATAAACAAATTAACAAATTTGCTAGAGTAAAAATCATTTTAAAGTTTAAAAGTATGAATATTAAATTATAATATAATTTATATGTTTTAAAGCTTGAAAATTAATATTCATACTTTACACTTTAAAATGATTTTATAATAAATGTTAATTTTCAAACTTCAATATTAATTTTCAAACTTCAAACTTTAACACATAATTTATGTTTTAAAGTTTTAAAATTAACTATCATACTTTTAAATATTAAAAATAATTTTTAATCGTATAAATTTGTTAATTACTTCTAATAATAAATTAATGATAAAATTTAAATAGGGGAATTACTTACAATCAGTAAAATAAAGTAAAATGAGTAAAATAAAAAATTTATAATAAAGCTTTATATTTAATTATAGATTTAGGTCTATAATTTAAAATTCACAGTAAAAATGCCAAATTGAAAATTGCCTTTTTTTATTCACAAGAATACTAGAGTATCGTTTAAGACTTAAAATTTAAACATGCATTATAACTCTGCATTATACTCTCTTACTCGGTATATGAGCCTACCGAACCGATAGTAATAAAGTTCGATTTTGGAACCACTTATTAATTAACGTGGACCGGTGTTCATAAGGATAGTCCGGTGTAAATTTTTATTTTTGTAAACTTGAAATTCAGGACAATATTTACATCCTCTCAAGACATGGCGTCAAAGTAAAAGAAACCTGAGATTGCGGTGCTGAGAAATCCGTGGAAGAGTATGAGGAGAGGGGTTTGGATTCCTAATGTTATTCAAACTTTTTTAAATAAAGTATAAATTATACGAATAAAAGGTTAGAAACGTGAGTAAGATACTCACGATAAAGAAAACTAAATTTGCAAACCTTAGCAAATGCTAACATTTGCAACGCATTTTAGGGGAAGTGGAGGTATAACCTCACCCGTAACGTTTGGATTATTGTTATATAAAAATATAAACGAAATGTGTTTTTTTAACAGTTTATTTCAATAACCACATTATTAAGCTTTAAATTGTTTCAATTAAGAAAAAAATAAACGGTTTTTAAAATGTTATTACAGTTAGTGAAAAAATAGGGGTACGCTTTTCGCGGAACAATTTTTTACAATTCTCACAGCTCAGATTACTTGCTGATTTTGTTGCGTGCTTCCGAACTGTGTAGACATTCTTTGTATATATAGTCTGAGTTTTCTCATTCAATGTAAATATATATATATATATATATATATATATATATATATATATATATATATATATATATATATATATATATATATATATATATATATATATATATATATATATATATATATATATATATATATATATATATATATATATATATATATATATATATATATATATATATATATATATATATATATATATATATATATATATATATAGGGGGCAGTAGGTCAATTATAAAAGTATGGAAACATTAAATTCAAAAAAATATTACAAAATGTTTGATTGGTACGTTAAAAGCGTAGATACTTTAAGGGAGGTAGAGGATATTCAAAAGAGTGTATGGCAAAATGCGGAGGGGGAGGGGGTAAAAAGAAGCCTATGTACTTTATGGACGACCTCTAACAAGATATAGATTTACACTCTTAACTTTATAGGGTAGACCGGGGCGAGTTCGCCACAAGGGTGATTTCGCCACTTTTAATATTATAAGAAAAATATGATATTTTGGCATAACACCATATTAAGATGATGTAAAATATTTATTACTTTAAAATTATAACTATTGATTGATCATAGTTGCCGCCTAATTTGATTAGTTGTTGTAAATTTTAAATAAGATTTGCTGTTTAATTTTATTAATTGATATTATTGTGTCACTCTGGCTTCAAGTGGCATTATTATTAATTTTGTGAAATTGGTTGAAACAACATTTGAGAACAGCTAATAAGGTGAGAGCTTAATAAATTTGTTAAAACTATTTATCTGGCGTTCGTAGTATATTTTTTAAATAGGTTTTTGTCCTAGTAGAATATCGTTGGGTGATTTCGCCACAGAATGGTAAAATAGTCCACAAATGAAAAAAATATAACGTGCAATATTTTTGCTTTCTAAACAATATTTAATATATTTATTATTATATAAACAATTTTATAAAATCATTAGAGATATATCAGGAATTATAGTAATGATAAATAATAGCGTATTTAAAAAGTAATGATAAATTTATTAGAAGTATTTTGAAGATATAATAAATCAATAGTTTTTAGTTTAACATTTAATAAATAGTTTTTTAAGATTCTCCAAAAACTTTGTATTTAAAAATATCATTTTTTCCAATTGAATTCAATTGATAAAAAAAATTTATATTCCAATTTCTTACCATTAAATGCTCACCATCGCTGATTGTTCATAGCCACTATATCGATTAGCATGTTTAAAATACACCATTATAAAATCTATGCATCGATATTTAAAAAGATAAAAAGATTATTATGCCAATCGATAATAATTATCTTGTTGCATTTTTACTTTGAGTGCTAAAATCTAAAACTCGTTGTATATTACCTATGTTTCAGATAATACGCAAATATCTCCCAAAGAAGGGAGATATTTGCGTATTATCTGAAACATAGGTAATATACAAAGCTCAGGAAAGGAAAGGGATTTTTTGCCTGATCAAGTAAAAGCAAATGGCTCAAAGAAGAGAAAGTCCTATAGTTTAAAATCATTGCTAAATGCTACTAAGTACATCAAATGCTACCAAGTACATCAAATGCTACCAAGTACATCAAATGCTACCAAGTACATCAAATGCTACCAAGTACATCAAATGCTACCAAGTACATCAAAAGCTACCAAGTACATCAAATGCTACCAAGTACATCAAATGCTACCAAGTACATCAAATGTACCAAGTACATCAAAAGCTTATAACAGAAACAGCAAAAACAACTCACGGCTTTGTGTTTGATGTGGCATGGCAATTATATTTTGTCGAATTAAACACATTCTGTGCACATGTCAATGCAAAAGCAGATTTTACACGACCACATATGACAAAAAACGGATTGTAGCTAGTCTTCTGATAAATCCATATTCATCAGAAGACTAGCTTCAATGCGTTTCTTTTTATATATGGGCGTGTAAAGTCTGCTTTTGCATCGACATGTGCACAGAATGTGCTTAATTTGACAAAATATAATAAAGCTTTAACTCTTTTTACATAGGCGAAATTGCCCCATAAAAGGCGAAATTGCCCGAAGTGTTTAATACAAATCGATGTTTATGAGTATAAATATTTCATTTTTTTTTTTAAATTTTTAAACGTGGTCGAACTCTATATATATTTTATTTATTATAATTCAGTTAATGGTATACGAAAAAAGCGTACCAGGTTGAACAGACAACATTAAAGCAGCAAAAGTGGCGAAATCGCCCCGGTTTACCCTATTTTAATCAAAAGCTAATTTATTAATTGAATAAAAAAATACCAATATCTCAAACAAAACTATTTCTATTCAAGTTTACATGAACGCATTCAAGTGTGACGATTGTAATTATTGCCTTTCGTAATTACCTAACTTTTATAAATATCAAAAGTATGCGGTTGTGCCTCCTGTGCGTCTATGGGGTTTTGCCCATAGACGCACAGGAGGACAGTTTCAAGAAAAATTACAGTTTCATAGCTTGCTTATTAGGTTATATTGATATCAAAAATGGTTTTACTTGAAATCTATGTCAGAAAAATATTACGTAAATATAATAATTTTATCAAAATAAATATTTTATCAAAATAAATTTTATCAAAATAAATACAACTTCTCAGAAACATAACAGGCACTCTTTTTGACATAAGCGAAATGAAGAAAACTGTTTTACCTACACGTGGTATATTTTACGCCATATTAGATAAGATTGTTCAAATGGAAATGTTAAAAAAACCGTTGTGCCTCCATATGCGGCTATGCCCCCACTTCCCCTATATAAAGTTTCTGTGAGATGTAAGTAGTGAATAATAATTCAAAAAGACTGAAAGTAGAAGACTCAGCGAGAGGGTTGCCAACCATTAATATAAGAATGTCCACAATATTGCAATAGTTATTTGCATTTAATAACTAAGTTTTTTTGGAATTAAAACTCAATACAGGACCATGTATAGAACCTTGAGTAACCACAAGTTATTGGAAATGAAGAAGAGTTTTGCCTTTAAAGGATCGCTTTAATATTACAATTAGAAAGAAATGATTCAATAATTTAAAAAACTCTCTTACTTGATGACCATATGAAGCAAGCTTAAGAAGAAAACATTCTAAACTTTAACGAAAG